TTTAAGTCTTGTTTAGTTAAAAATCACAGGCACGTATTGTTTAATCTATAATTAATATCTTATTAATCCATTGTGATGGAATCAATAATAAATGAAGCAGCAAATGGAGAAAAGATGAAATTGGGGTCCTTGTGCGTTCAAATTGAAATTTACCCATTTAGCAGGAAGTCAATCAAATTGTAATTCCAATCAAATTGTAATTCCAATCAAATTCCACTTTCCAGTGGACACTTGCTTGAATGGACTCACTGCTGGAATGCTCAGGGCAGGGGGAGAGGATCAAGGACCTCAATTTGATTTAATTTAATTTATTTTCCTGGAGAAGCCCAAGGGTGGGTCCTAGTGCATCCTTCCCCTGCCTAAGGAGTGGTTGTAGAAAGCCAGGGGCCAGGCTGTGCCAGAGGCTCACACTCTGGGCACAAGCAGCTGTAGAAATTGCAGTGAAGAATTTGTATCTGTACAAATGAGAAAACTGTTCACTGCTTGAGCGTGTATTTAGAGGAAATGAGTTACCCAATTCCATGTTTGAAAGGCTTCAAAATTTGGAGAGACAGGGCTCTGAGCAAGCTGGTCTAACTGGGGGTTACCCTGCTTTGAGCAGGAGATTGGGCTGGACACCCTCAGAGGTTCCTTCCAAACTCAGTTTTTCTCTGGTCGTGTCTGAAAGATGTAAAAACTCAATTTTTGCTTGACTTTCAAAAAATAATTACTTCAAAAGTGGGCCTGGGAGTGTGCACTGTAGGTGATAAAGTGTCAGTGTGCACATCTTCTGCCAGAAGTATAAATAAATGAATTGGCTGTGAGAGTTATTTTTACTGGAATAAGGGGAAAGTTTGGGAAGTAGATCACAAGTAGGTAGGTAAGAGGAATTAGAAAATGAATTTGTTTCAAATCTCCCTTCCATGGAAAGAAGACCATAGCTAGAAGTATGGTAATTTCCATGGTTTTTTGTTAGTTCACTGATCAAAATAGCAGAAGGAAGTACAAATAGTATCATCTTAGGCTGCTGTACTGTCAGAGGAAAGTGGAAAAGCTGTGTTTGGTGGTGCAGGTGTTGGTAATGACCTCTGCTTCCCTTTGTGGGGAGTTAACACTGCCCGTGTTTGCCTTGAAAGTATTTGAAGTCAAAAATCGACACAAGCAATCTCCCAGATGCTGACTGCGTTCTTTTTTGAGTCTTGGCTTTTTAATGTGAAAAGTTGAAGCTGTCCTTGGCTCTCAGTAAATCAACAAGAGTTCAAAACCAGGCATCTTGTTATTCTTTCAGATTTGTTTAAATCTCAGGGGATCTTTAAGTTAACAGGGGTTCAGTATCACAGTCAGTGTGAAGGAATTGAGCTGTGCACTTGTAACTACCCTGACTTGAGGGGTTATCACTGCTCAACCCTTATCATCTATTTGAATGTAAAATCTGGAGGTGCTGATAAAAGAACCTGCTGATCAAAGTGGCATGGCAGCTGCTCTCTGATTTTGGTCCTGATTCTTAGAAGGCAATTAAACTGGAATAATTCAAAGGATACTGAAGCACTTGGTATCGCAGCAGGGTTTGTGTACAGGGAAGAAATCAAATTCTTCTGCTGTGTTTTGGTTTCCCAGATAAAGACAGGATGAAATTCCTCCTTCCCAGTCAGATGGTATTTTCACACAGGCAGAACTACAAGTGTGTCAGCAGCTTTTCCCTGCAGTATGGACAGAACTGCTGAGGGAAAGCGAGAAAACATTGGAAATACAGATGTGACAAAACTGGACTTGCACATTTTTACCCTGAGACACTTCTCTGGCACCCTAAACTGCAAAGTTCCTAAACTCTGTAGAAGTCCTGCCTGGATGAGCATCACTGTGTTTGCCTGGGAACTGCAGATATAGATGAGTTATCTGTGGAATAGTTTGAAGTGATGTGATGCTTGGTGTCTGTTTTCCAGTAGTCAACCCACAATGAGCTTTTTTTTTAATTTAAAGAAGAATAATTGAGGTTATGAGCTACATTTCAGTTGTGACACCTCCTCTGCAGTTCCCTGGGTCATGCAGTGGCTCCGTTCTGATGCTCACCTGGACTTGTCATCAATAAATATACAAAACTACTTTATTTCTTTGGGATTTTTTTGTAAGTGGATTGTCTAGATGAGTTTCTCCTCCAGCAAGCCATGCTGTGGTAGTGTATTGTGAAACTATTGTAAGCTTTTGAACAGTGAGTAAAACCCAGTTCAGCTTGTTGAGGACTAAATGTTTTGATGAGGTCTCTCCTTGTGGGTGTTTCTGTGGTTTTTGTTTAGTTCATTGTGTAACTAAAGAATATGCCAAAACCAACTTGATTCTGATCAAATTAGAACATGTTCTGTGCTTTGATTTTGGATGTAAATATAATACATTTGCATAACTGCAATTTATTCAGGAACTCTCTTGGTTAGTATACACTCTTTATTCTGCTTTTTGGCTGAATTCCAGCTATAAAAATATCCTTCCATTTAAAAAACTGTTTGCAAATATGAATCAATTGACAGATGTGGTCTTTTGATAATATTCAGGTGTTTATTGCTCTAACCAGACAGGGATTTGTAGGTACATTGTATTTCCTTACTTACACTGGCCTTTCAGGCATGGGAAATGTAAACTGCACTGGGGTTGCCTCTGGGTTTGCCAATTTGTTTGACATGTGTAGAACCTCTGGAGTCCCCTGGTTGGTCAAAGCTCCTGTGTTTGGAGCTGCTTTTTGTGGGTTTTTTCCCAGCCTTGATGAACATTTGAGAGCCCCATGTCTGTGCTGTTGCCTTGTTTGCCAGAGGTGCCCACAGGGAGATGATGCCTTCAGGGCTGCAGGAGGGTAAAAGGGAGATCTTTTAATATGTGTGTGCCTACGTGGAATATCAAAGGAGCTGCTGAGTATTCCTTTTCTGCCTTTCCATGTTCCTGAAGTTGTGGAGATCCACCTCTTCCCCATCCTCACCTGGTGTGGCACAGGAGGGCTCCAGTTCCTCTGTGCTGTGCACTGGGATGGTTTTTTACCAGGCAATAAGGACTGTAACCAGGGAATTAGCACCTAAAGCCATGTCCAATTCTTCCCTTGAGTTGAAATAAATTCGGTCTTACAGGCATTTAAGGTAAATTTGCAGGTATGGAACAGGCTCATGAAATGCATAGGGAAGGTGAAATGCATATATGCATATGTATGGAATAGCCTCATGAAATGCATAGGTGTGTGTTTGTGTCAAACAGATGCTGTTGTTCACTTTCTCACGGGGATTTTTACTTAATCTTTAGCTGTCTTTGCATACACTTGAGTGTTGTTTTTATTGCTGCTTAAAAGAAATGCTTGAAAAATATTTTTATTAACTAAACAACCAAGACCCCCTTTCCATTGTCACTAAAACGATACAAGCACAAAATACTTTCTACTGGAAAAAGCAAACAAATGAGTTCTTACTGAATATATTAAAAAAACCCAACCCAGAAATTGGTCCATTTAACTTCCTTGCTGAAATGCTTGTGCAGTTTTTTGGCATAGATTCTGTTCCTAATTTAGTACATTGAGCATGTTTCAGAAATAGGTCGTCTGTTAAATGCGGACACAGTCCGTACTCAGAAGTAAGACAGAGAGAAAAGGAAGGTCACTGTCAATTCTTTCTCTTTTTCCTGATCCTTGAATGTGGATTGTAAGGAAAAAGAACCACTGTGGTGCATGTGGCAGGGGACATAGTGAAAATCAAATGGTGCCTTTGTTCTATAAACATCCTTCGATTCATTTTGAGATATGAAAGCCAAAACACAGGAGAGTTCATTTCTAAGGCTACTCCGCAGCTGAGTGTTCCTGCCAATTCTTACATCACTTTTATGTTTAATATATTTTTCCAGAGAAATGATCACTTTTATTTACAGTCTGTATTTTGCATTCATAGCTCATTTCTTATCCCTTGTTCCAGCATATGCTTGTTTCCTTTTTGTATAAAACTAGATCTGCCTAGAAGCACTTAAAAGCAAAACAAACCCAAAGCCCAACATTTTGTGAGGTTTGTTTCTGGGTGTAGTGTCATTGGAAAGTCCTTTTCATCATGTGGGAGGTGTGTAAATGTCATCGTGGGTTTAGTGCTCAGTGTAGTCTAACAACTTAAGGATGAGGAGGTAGTAAAGTTATTTGAACTGTATTTTTATAGATGCTTTTGTTGAGACAAAATTAAGTTTCTTATTTGCTCAAGATTAAGCAAATTTATTTACTGAGAAGTTAGAAACAAGCCTGTCCTGTTTAATTGGGTTCATTTCTAAATGCTATGCACAGGGATGTAGAAAAGGGATTATCCTATGGTACATTCATTGCATTTTATTTTTCAAATTTGTAAACAGTTGCACATTGTTAATTTATTGTTTTTCATTAAATTTAGGCGTGTCATCCTTGGTAATACATGAAAATAGGTAGTTTACTGAAATTGGGTCTTAAATAGCTCTGAAAATAGGTGTTTGAATGTAGTACTAAAGCAGCAGTATACTCTGTAAAGGAACAGAATTGGAATTGATGTATGTTTAATTTAATAGGTATTTTAAGAGAAAAGAACCCAAATGTCTTAGACAAGTCTGTGAAACTGGTTAGACCTCAAATTGGCCAACGTTCATGCTTTGATTCTGCTATCATGGACCAACTTGCTCATTGGCTGAAGCCATTCCTTGGCATCATAAATTAATGAGGTTTTGTTTTTAAAATAGCTCTGCTTTGGGGCTGCTGCAAGATCAGGATGAACCTCAGTAAATTTAGAGACAATGCACAAACTGCCCTTGTTAGAAAAAATTGCATTTCCTTGTATTCCTTAACAAATGTCAGTTGCTTACCTGGGGATCTTTTTCTTGATCTCCCTGTATGATCTGTGAAATGAAGATGGTCGTGGGTAATTATAAATATATCTATATATAAAAATTATAAATGAGCTTAGGTGATAACATGCTAGTTATTCAGAAAGTCTTACATTCTGTAAACAAGTGGCTCATATATTTGTTTGTTTATTTTTATTTTTCAGCTGTACTTTCAGGTTTCCCAGCACAAACATCAAGATAACATTCACAGCTCTGTCCAATGAAAAGAGAGAAAAACAGGAGGCCCCGGAGTCCCCAGTGAAGCCTGTGCAACCCCAGATCTCTCCCTTAACAATAAACATTCCAGACAACATGGCTCACCTGATCAGCCCCCTCCCTTCTCCCACGGGAACCATCAGGTATTTAAACCCTGCAGGTGGGATCAGGGCCATGTACAGTCAGCCTCAGCACAACTTTCTCATTCAGGATTTTGCTTTTGAGGTCAAAATTCAGCTGAAGCTCAGCCTTACCTGCCTCCAGAAACGCCCTTTCTGCTGACATAGTTCTGCATGAACATTAACATGTTCAATGTGTAACATTCTGCTCAAGAACCTGGCATTTTTCTTGCATTTCAACAATTTAAATTGCTTTTTGCTCTTGCATGCTTATGGCAACGCTTCAAATGAGACAATTTTCAATGACACCATTTTAAAACGTCCTGATTTGCCACTGTCCTCATCAGGAAAAACGGTGGTTTGGGTTATTTTTGGTGTGGAAAATGGACTGATCTCTTTCTCCAGAAGATTTGTTATTGGTTAGTCACTGCTGGAAGTGAGCAGACCTTTTTCTGAAAGCGCAGGCTGAGGTGCAGAGCTCAGTGTCAGGGTGGCTGATCCAGGATTTTCCTTGCCCTGCTGCTTCTTTGGTAATTGCAGCCCTTGTCCCACCTGTTACTTGGGACCAAACTCAATTAACACAAGCAACCCATCCTCACAAATGACTTCAGATGGAATTATTCAAGTCTTGGAAAGATCAGGAGCAAAACTTCCATGTCAAGGCCCTGAAAGTTGTTTCAGTCATGTTCATGGTTTTGAAAGCTTCTTTGTCCCCTCTCACTTCCTGTGTCTTCACTTGGGTAAAGAACTGGCCATGCTTGCTTTTAAAAAGGTATAACTTGTTAATGAGATTTGAATGGGAGGATAATTGACTTCTTGCATGATTGCCAAGCTCCTGGTCTCTGTCTGGGGGTGTTTAATGACACCTGCTGAAATGATGGAAGCAGAGAGAAAAGATACCTAGGCTTGTCTGTGTAACAGGCTTGCTTTATTATGAGAATTCAAGGAAGACACATCTTGCCAATGACAGAGCAGCTCACAAATATTTCAGATATTATCCCATCTATCACCACTGGCTTTGCCTCACTATGAATTCTATAATTCTCTTCAGGGTTTCATGCACCTGTTGAGTAGTTTATTACAGAAAAAAGAAAAAAAGATGACAGTTTGGAGTCTATTTTGAGAGCAAAGCCTGACAGTTTCTCTGTAAATCATCCTGTTTTGTAGAAGACTTGTAAACTTGCTTTGATGCTACCATATGTGTCTCTTTGTCAATATATGCTGAAGTGAGCAGAGCAGAGGGATGTTGTCAGCTGATACGTGCAAACACAGAGCAGGAGTGACCTATATCTAAAAAAATAAATTGGCTACACATTTGGGCTCTAACCAAGGATTCTTCTGTACAACACTTAAAAATTACCATCTCTCTGTTATAGTAAGTATATCACTAGTAACAAATCATGGGTGGATTTTTTGGGAAGTGAAGCTTTGATGCTTTCAGTGTGAGTATATATTGCCCAATCTATAGATTTGCCTCCTTCTGTACATAAAAAAGGAGATAGCAAAAAACTGGAGGGGCCAGGCAGACAAACAAACCTTGACAGATGAAAATTATTAAAGCTTTAGTGTATAGATTTAAATAACATTGTCTAGATTTATTTGTTGTTGATGTTTTGAACCATAGATTCAAAGATTAAAGATTATCTTTAGAGATAAGGCTGCTTCTGGGGGCACAGCCAGGTTCAGCTATTAAGATTTCTAGTTTTTTTGGAATTTCTGCCTTGAAATCAGCTGCAGTATGAATTGCAGAGAGTGTGTCCTTGCAAGAGAGCTGCCAGAATTATTTTGGGGAAGGGGATGGACCTCACCTGCTGACTTTCTCTTTCCTCTTGGCTAAAAGGAAATCGTAGAAGAAAATTGGCATCGTGCAGCTGCAGTTCCTGTGGACTCTGCAAGGCAGGGGACCACTGGTAGAAAGATGTTCCGGTGGAATTATGTCCAGTTTTACCTGGTTTTCTGTGATGGATGGCAAAATGTGAAGTGTTAGGAGATGCTCTTTAGTGTTTGGCACTATCTCTTGCTTTCTAACAGTGTATCTGCTCTGTTGGCCCAGTACTGCATTCAGTCAGCTGAGTCAGTGCTGATACATCTCATTTACAGATAAATTTGTGATTTTTATACACATACCTATGTAAGTATGTGCACACACCTGCAAACACTTAAAATAATACTGGTTTCATTTTAAATGAGAATCAAACCTTTTTTTACCTCGCTGCTTGCTATATTTCCCCAAATGTGCAAAAACCCTACACAGGAGAGATGATTATTTTGGGGGCAGACTGAACACAAGCATATGGCAGAAATTCCATGCAAGATCTGTTTCTTGTTCCCAACAAGTGTCTGAAAATCTGTGGTTGCTGATGCAGTTAAGGTGGACTATAAGGGGCACATCTTACACAAATATATTGCAGCCTGATAAGCAGATGATTGTTGAGGAGGAAAGCCTGAGTGAGGTTTCTTCCTGCAGTGGTTCTGATCCCATGGCTGGCTTAGCAAGGCATGGAAGGTGCTTTGGAATGGAAGCCCTGACAGCCCCTTAGCTGCAGCCTCAGAGCTCTGGTAGTGGCTTTGCTGCACTAAGAGCTTTTTGATGAGACATAATGTGGTGATATACTGTATAACAAAATAGTAGGATCTTCTTTTTATGCTCTACAGTGCTGCAAATTCCTGCCCATCGAGCCCCCGCGGCGCAGGCTCTTCAGGGTACAAAATGAGCCGTGGAATAGCATCTGACCTACATTTGATGGCTGACAATTCCCAGTCAGAAAACGACAAGGAAGCTTCGGGGGGAGACAGCCCAAAGGTAAACACAGCTTGAAACCAATCCCAGAAATTGCACCTGAACTGAATGGAAGGCTTGGGATGTTTTGTTTGCTGAGGTGTGTGCACTGAGTGGTAATTTAACATCCCAGGTTTAAAAACAGTGTGTAGGGCTTTGTGATCAGAGGTGAAATTGATTGATTGACTGATTGATTGATTAACCCCTGTTCCCTTTGGGGGAGGGTCTCTGTGCAGTCTCAGTTACAGATCTGTTTGGAGGCTATTGAAAATTCTTTGCTGTTATACATACCTGCAAAATTTATGTTATATACCCTAAAATTGCTAATCAGAAAAAGTTTTCTTAGTTTCTTTGATGCCTCAAGATTTTGGTTGTCGAAAAGTCCCCTAAGTCAAGTTAATGATGTTTTATGACTTTTGATCTACTGTATCTCTTCAGTTTGTTGATGCAGACTTCTCTTGTTTTTGTCCAGGATGACTCTAAGCCACCCTACTCCTATGCACAGTTAATAGTCCAAGCAATTACAATGGCCCCGGATAAGCAGCTTACACTAAATGGAATTTATACGCACATAACTAAAAATTATCCCTACTACAGGACAGCAGACAAGGGCTGGCAGGTAATTCTGATTTCTGGAATTTTTTTTCTTTACATGTGAGCAATACTGGCAGCTGTAAGTGGTCATGAGCAGGCAGTTGGTAAGCCTCATAACCCTTCAGATACAGAATTTGGCAAATGAGTGTGTTGTCTTTCCTCTGATACTAAGTTTTCCAACAAAGTGGGCAATTTACATTAGTCTGTATTTTAAATACTGCTTTATTCATGGAATGGTGTTCTCTAAACCTCTAGTAGGGAGGCAGGCAGACTTTGGGGAAAGCACAGTGCATTTGGCACTGGGTTTGAATCCTGTATGCTGTCTAGGAAAGGTGTCATGTTCTGTAACCTACAGTTGTGTAAACATCCGAGATAAAATTGAGATAGTAAATACTCCAAGTTTAGTTCTGCTTGAGAACAGTGATCTTGCCCATGCAGCAGGTGAAGGAACAAGTGTGTTATCTGTCATTATCTCACCCTGGTTCATGCACTGTTTGATTTGTGAACTTGCCCATTCCTGTACCAAACCTCTCAGCTCTGCAGAATTAATTTCTGCTTTCTTTTCGTTTTCACAAGACCAACCTCAGCTTTTGCCAGGATGACTAACCAAGTACAAATCAGCCTGGCAGAGCCTTCCCAGGCACATGTGAAGGCTGCTTTGGTGCCGTTTTGGGTGTCTCAGAAGCCAAGGAGCCCAGTTTGCAGGGCCTGGAACACCTGGAGCACATGGTGCATCCTGGGCTATCTGATCCCTCTGCAGTTATTGTCAGGGAGGTAAAATTTAGGGAGATTGGGTGAGAGGGAAAGTGAGGAAGTGTTAACATCGGCTGCAGAAGTGGAAGACTGAAGAATTCAATCCTTCCCTGTAGAGGAGGAGATTTTAACATATTAATCACATACTTATTTGTCATACAGCCTAAATGAAAGCTGGGTCACTCTCCCAAGGTTAGTGGGGAACGTGGCTGTTCCTGGCTGTTTGCTAAGGGTTTGGTTAGTCAAGGACTTGGCTGTTGTGGCTGGGAAGTCTCTTTTGTTTCCCTTTCCCACATAACAGTGCAGTATCCTGGCTGCAGTCATGTTGTTTTAGCAACAAGACTCTGTTTATAAAATGTTGATGTGTGTTTTGCTTCCTATTTTGCAGTACCTTGAGTGTCTGTGTAGATGATGTTGCTTTGTGAGCATCATGAACCCAACACACACACACACACAGAGTTATGCTGAGCTGAAGAGCTCTGCCCTAGAGCAGGGTGTGGATTTGGGGCTGTGATGCTTCCTAAAGCCAAGGTGATGGGCACAGCAGACAGCATGTTCTGGGGTCACTAATCAGCAGCTATGCATAGAAACAACTGGAAAAGCTGAAAATCAGATGCTGTTCAGTCACTGCTCTGCTAGCTTCGACACTTTGGAGTTGGATTGCAGCTCAGGTGACTTAGGACAGATCTTTCAAATCTTATTTGAGGTTATACATGCACATATCATTCAAAACATAGAGTACAAACACATGTGCAGTGTCCCAGTCCCACACCTTAAGAAACAGGTATTTATATCCTTTAGCACACAATGGTCTCATTTTGATGAGCATTTGAAGGCTTCTCTCTGTAAACTTATTTTAGCAGGTATTTTTGGATCTACTCCTTTATTCTAGCATATGGAGAAATAAATACAATTTATAAATATGTTCTTGGCATCTTTCTAGTTATGTTTCCATTTTTGGCAGGAAAAAAACCATCTCTGGTTTCATCAGTTTGCATTCAAGAAATCATATGTGGTTATCATCACTGCTTTAAGTTTTCCAAACTTACCATCAGGGTCATGAACTCAGATGCTTGAGCAAGTTTTACATTGTCTTTGCAAATTTTTGAGAGCTTTTGTTAACATAAAGTTTTTCCCCATTTACCTCTGTTCCCCCTCAAGTGTTTCAGGGTGAATCCTTAGCATCAGTCTCTTCCTGTTCAGTGATAATATTGAGAGAGATTTTGGGGTTTATCTATGTTAAAGAAATAAAATAAAAAGAAATTCTGTGTGCAAAGCCAAGCACAGACAGGGCAGCTTGAGGGTGTCAGCAGTTCTGTGCATTGCTCTGGTGGAGGAGTGGGGGGATGTTGCAGCAAATTGAGGATGTGGGAATGTGAAAGGGACCGTGGTGACAAAGATCTGGAAGAGCTGGTTCAGGACCTGCTGCCACTTGGTGTTTTAATTGCCACAGTAAATTCTTGGCTCTGTTATTGAGACAAACTGGACTGTGGGTGAATTCACAACACTCCAGCTGCCTTTGGAACTTGTGTAATTTAGTGTTTTCTTTCTGAGCTGTGGAACAGTAACAGAACTACCACACAGGATCAGAATCAGTGTGTGCTGTGTTCTGCTGGCCCTCCCGGAAGGAGCTGGGACACCTGGGGAAGGGTGGTGTACAAGCACTGATCATTTTTATTTTTGTTTTTAACACTGCATACTGCACAAGTGTTTGTACTGTTCTAAACATTGGTTTCAATCACCGTGTTTCTCATGAGAGAATGAAATAAATGGGATTCCTGTTATTTCCAATTAGAATACTGGGTTTTTAATTGTTGGGAAAGAGTTGACAAATGCAAGAGTCCTTTCAGATTTATGGCACTGCTTGGTAGTGCTCTGAGTTCTGTTAAATTAAGGAATTAAAGAGCTGAACCCCGAGTCTCCTATACTACAAACTGCTGCAGTAGGCCACATTCTGACTTGGAAAAGTTATATGAATTCTACATATTTTTTTATGTTCCATAGAATTCAATACGTCACAATCTCTCTCTGAATCGTTATTTCATCAAAGTACCACGTTCCCAGGAAGAACCAGGCAAAGGCTCATTCTGGAGGATAGACCCTGCCTCTGAAAGCAAATTAATAGAGCAGGCTTTTAGGAAAAGGCGGCCTAGGGGAGTACCTTGCTTTAGAACCCCTCTGGGACCACTCTCTTCTAGGTAAGGAAAACCAGATGAACAAAAAGACTATGGCTGTTGTTTAATCTTCAGGCTGCTACAGACTTGGTAGCTTCGGATACAGTCCCAAGTTTAGTAATTTAATTTCATCCAGACTCAGTGTTTGAATTCTGTGTGTTTCATGAGGAGGCTGCCCCATGCACCAGGCTGGTGTTTATTGCTTGGTTTTAGTGTTAAAGAACTCGGTTTGCAATCTAACTATCAGATTGTTAATGTGTGCAAGCCTTGCTGTACTTTTGATGGGTTTTGCAGAATTATAATTTTGATTTCTAACTGTCATCTACTGGATTTTAAAACTGTTTACAAAGAAAATTCTCAGATACCGGCTACCATTTTATTGACCTTAGAGATGACAATTGTGTATTCAGTTTGCTAATGTTGGAGCAGAATTTGTGATGGGGAAATACCTGGGTTTAAATTAATCCCTCTGTAAAGTTATGGCCTTTCTGCTGGTGCAGATCTTTTTCTGCTTGCCCTGTAGCCTCAGATTTGCTCATTGCTCTTCTCCACCAGAAGAAATGTTCATGTTTCACAGATTTAGAGTCTCCCTAAGAAGGCGTCCAGCCACTTCTTCTCTGTTAACTGTACCTGGAGTTTGCTTTTAAATTCTGTCCCTGTTTAACAGAAGCTTTTAAGAGATGCTGAGCTCTGGGCTGTAGCTGTGCCCTGCCCTGCTGTGGGCAGTGTTACGCTCCCATTAGAGGAAGGTCTTGGGCTTTCACAGTTCAGAAGTTAAAACACATCAGCTGCTGCTTTCATTTCTAACTACAGAAGTGCCCCAGCTTCTCCTAATCACTCTGGAGTGTTGTCTGCACACTCCAGTGGCGTCCAGACCCCCGAGAGCCTGTCCAGGGAAGGATCTCCTGTCCCCATGGAGCCTGAGCCCAGCGCCATCCAGCCAAAACTCGCCGTCATCCAAGAAGCGCGATTTGCACAGAGTGCCCCAGGTGAGCACTCTGAGCTCAGCACTGGGGCTGGGGGCAGAGGGTGACACCAAAACACTGCCAGGACTTAACATGTACCCCAAAAATGAGTACTAGTTCACCTCTTCAGAGCAGATCTGTGAGATCAGGAGCAGCCAGGGAGGGTGTGTTTGAGCACATGGGGCTGTTGTTACCTGGGGCTGCTCCAGATCCTTGGGTCACTGTTGCTGAGGAGAGGCTGTGCCTCTGTCCTGTGGGGGACTGTGCTGTCTTGTAACAGTGCTCTTGGAAAAAAAGCCTGAAAGGTAAGGTTGTGTGTGTTAGAGAAATAAGGAAAGGCCTTTCACACCTCTGTGGTCATGTCATCCTTCCACAGTAGGGGGGATAAAAAAATTGAAAGGATGAAGAGAGATAAGAAATGTCCTATTTAAAACAAAAAGAGCATAAGGCATGATGGGATAAGGATGTGTTTGTTTAATTACCTTCTTTGATATACATTTGCCATGCAGTTTCTTGGTGGTGCTGTGGCACTACAGAGGGCAGACATGTTCCTGTGCATTCCTCAGCATTCCCAGTGCAGGAATGCTGCACACAGCACCTGCAGCACATGTCTTCCCATCTGTGGAAAGGGATTTACTTAAATGAGTGCCAAGCACAGCTTTGTTTGGGGGCAGAGCAGGGGTGCCCAAGTGGTGTGTGGGTTTTGCACAGCCAGTACAGCTCTTACCTTGAGCCTGGAGCTGGGAATAACCACTTGTCCTAACCTTCATTGTCCAGTGTTACCTTCTGGCTCGTTCAGCCATTAGTGAAGGAGCTTGTTCATTCTCTGAGGTTTTAATGTGAAGTTTAAAAGAACGACTGGCTTAGAAGAAATAATGAAAATTGGCAGTCTAATTTTGACCTCTTTCTTGGTAGGATCACCTCTCTCTAGCCAGCCAGTTTTAATTACTGTACAACGGCAGCTACCACAAGCTATCAAACCCGTCACCTACACTGTTGCAACTCCCGTGACAACATCGACCTCCCAGCAGCCTGTAGTTCAGACAGTTCATGTTGTGCACCAGATCCCAGCTGTGTCAGTCACCAACGTGACTGGATTGGCACCAGCAAACACTTACACTGTCGCAGGACAGGCAGTTGTCACACAAGCTGCTATGGTCACCCAGCCCAAGATAGAACCTCAAGAGAATGGAGACCACAAGGAAGTCAAAGGTAAGAACCTGTGGGGTTGTTTTGGCACCTCTCTATGCAGAGGGATCGGTATTTGAAATTTAGAATTGTAGAACCATGGAAGAGTTTGGTTTGGAAGGACCTTAAAGCCCATCTCATGTGGGCAGAGATGCGTTCCACTGCCCTGGGTTGCTCCAGGCCTCATTCAGGGATGGGGCATCAATACTTGCAGGACAAGGCTGAAGTGTTTGGCTAAAACAGAAGATTTCAAATTGTAATTTCTCAGATACGTTGGAGCGAGTAACAAAACAACCCACTCCCACTGAGGGCTGATTGAGTGAGACCAAGCGGTTCCTGAGCACTTTGTTAATTTTAACCAAATTTTCTCTCCTGTTTGCAGTGAAAGTGGAGCCTCTCCCTGCCATTAGCCATGCTGCAATAGGAGCTGCTGGTCGCATCATCCAGACATCGCAGCCCACCCCCTTACAGACAGTTACCATCGTGCAACAGGCGCCGCTGGGGCAGCACCAGCTGCCCATCAAAGCTGTCACCCAGAACGGAACGCACATCGTGCCGCTGAGCGCCGCCGTGGGGCCGGGCAGCGCGGGTACGCTCCTCTCCTCTCCTCTCCTCTCCTCTCCTCTCCTCTCCTCTCCTCTTCCTCTTCCTCTTCCTCTTCCTCTTCCTCGTCCTCTTCCTCTTCCTCTCCTCTCCCTCTCCCTCTTCCTCTTCCTCTTCCTCTCCTCTCCCTCTTCCTCTTCCTCTCCTCTCCCTCTTCCTCTTCTCTTCTCTTCTCTTCCTCTCCTCTTCCTCTTCTCTTCTCTTCCTCTCCTCTCCCTCTTCCTCTCCCTCTCCCTCTCCCTCTCCCTCTCCCTCCCCTCTCCTTTATTCTCTCTGTGGTTGTTACAGGGATGTACTCAGTGGTGACAGCCCATCCTCTCTCCTTGTTAAACCAGGCTAGAAGCAACTCTTCCTCTCCTCTCCCTCTTCCTCTCCCTCTCCCTCTCCCTCTCCCCTCCCCTCCCTTTATTCTCTCCGTGGTTGTTACAGGTATGTACTCAGTGGTGACAGCCCATCCTCTCTCCTTGTTAAACCCGGCTAGAAGCAAGTTTTAAAGAGAAGCTCCTGTAAATCAGAGCTGTTAAAATGGTGCCTGCTCCCCGGTGGTTTGTTGGAAGCCACCAACAGGAAAACCAGAACTTGCTTGTGGGTTGGCTCTTTGAACTGTTACTTTTTATTACAATTTTATTGAACCTGTACTGAAAAGACCAAAATTCTGTAAGGTTTTGAGGTGGTTGGTGTCTGAATCCATCATTCCCCTCTGGGCCTTGGCAGGCTGAGTGGGCAGCAGTGCTTTGTCATCATTCCACACATTCCCTCTTGCTCCCAGCACGGGCAGGTTTGCTCTGCTGGCAGCTCCTCACAGCTTGTTCTAGCAGTTCTGCTTTATGTATTATCTGATACTGAAGGAGAGGTTTTTTGTCATATGTTTACAGAAATACTTTTAGGGCTGTCTTACATCAATTCATTACCTGCATTTCTGCTCAAAAGTCTTTCTAATGGAGTGAATTATCTCCTTCATTTCCTTTTTACTCCTTTGCCATCACTGACATTTATAGGTCAGTGTTCTGGCTGCTGCCACTTCACTTCCAGCTTACGAGCAGCAAAAGCATCACAGTCAGACTTGAGGTGCACTTTCTGTGTCAGAAGGGATGTGTGAGTAGAGCTGAGAGCCATGTGAAATATACTGAAAAGCTATTTCTAAAAGTAAGGAATAATTCCTTTTCTCTTTTTCCTGGATTCTGAAAACTCAGCTGATTTCCACACGTTCCCTGGCAGGGCAGCTGAGGGCTGCAGGGTTGCAGGGAATGTGGCTGCACACAGGAGCAGAGCTGATGCTTCCCACTGCTGTCTGTGTGTGATGGGTGTGCAGTGAGGTGTGCTCCAGGTCCTGGTCTCTTGTTAAATAACTCCTAAAGCAGCAAGAAACCAGGTAATTCTCAGGCAAAGCATCTAAAAGGGGGAGCTGGGCCTATAGAAATGCAGATTTGCGTTTGTCTGCGTGACACACACGGCTGTGTTCACACACACATTTGTGTGTTTGTCTTTGGTGAAAGAATGTTTGTGCCATCTGAGAAGAAAGAAATGCAGAGCAAATCCTGTTCCATTTTCCATGTGCAGTAAAGCAGGAGCTTTCAGATCCTGCTCTCAGCAGAACAGCCTGGCAGCATTGCTCGGTCCCTGCGAGCCAGCCGAGAGCTCTGGGCTCTCTGAGAAACTCACGTTTCTTACTGTACAGTGAAATTTAATAACTCAGTATCGTGTATCTGATTTGACAGGGATCAGGGTGCTGAAGTTTGTATTCTGTTTTTTGCAGCTGCTGCAAGTCCTTTGCATATGTTAGCAACCCACGCGTCCGCGTCGGCGTCGCTCCCCACCAAGCGCCAGAACGGAGACCAGTCAGAACAGCAGGAACTGAAACGGATCAAAACAGAGGATGGAGAGAGCATAGTCATAGCTGTGAACGTGGACACCCCACCCGTGGCAGTGAGTGACAAAGGCAGCCAGAACTAGAAACTTTAGGGGAGTTTTCCTTTTTTTTTAAAAAAACAAAAAAAAACAAAAAAAAACACACAAAAAGAAAAAAAAAAAAATCACAAAAAACCAACAAAAACAAACTCCGTGGTGCCAAAAGGAGACACTTAAATCTAACACCTAAAATGTTGGAACATGTTCTCACGCAGTGGGGAAAGGGGCCCTGTGAATCAGACTTCAACTTTCAGCACTGAAACAAAACCCAACACAGGTGGCCTTAAAACTTGGTAACTTAAAAGTCAAACTGCAGAACCTTGTTGTTGTAGAGGCTGTGCCCCCGCCCCTCCTGCCCCACGGACTGTGTGTGCTGGGAGGGCTGCAGCTTTAACAGGATCTGTCAGATTTTTCCCAGGACTGAGGATCTCAGTGTAACGGCAGCATGATAGCGCTTAGTGTGACTGGTTTCAAACGATTGTGAATTCCTAAAGGGAACAGAGGCAGGAGCCATTCCGACACCGTGGCAGCTAAGCCTTTCCGAACCACCCACCCATGCAGTTGTTGATAGATATGCAGTATTTTGTTGTTCACATGTGGAATTTAGAAATTTTTGAGGTGTATTTTCATTTCTTTGCAAAACAATGGGGTCTTTGACATTTCAAATCACTCCATTTCTACTCCGGAAACTTTGGAATCACACAACTACTTTTCATGTGAAATTTTGTTTGGTAAAAAACTGAATGTAGGGTTTTTTTAACCAACGGAATGATTTACTTTTGTCTGTCCTGTTCAAGTTCAGATAAAGCTACTTTATTACATCTGCAAATTTTCATATTTTAGCAGTTGCCTGATAAATTTAATCAAATTTTATTACCATGTGTAGTGATCAAACGCTTCTTTGGGCTTGCATGTAACTGATTAGAAACTCTGATGTAAATGAGCCGTTAACTGACGTAAAGAACTGCTATGGATTTGACCAGAGCTGCACTTACCTGTTTCTCTCTCTGCTACCTTTTGCTGTTTGTTACTTTGTGTTGACTTTGACTGTCCCTGGCATATTTTTCCAGTCTAAAGTAAAACAAGAGTCTCGCTTAATATTGTGTATGTTTAAGATAACAGACTGTTCTTCATTTAGAAAGATAAAATTCTTTATCACGAGTCCTTTTAAAAAGAGTAAAATTATCTTGTCAGAGGTATATTCGATATTTTTAAGCTTAAGCACCCTTCAGTAGAAATTAATCTGCCCCGTTTCTCTGTAACACTTTGATGTCAGACACTGACCTCGGGGTCTCCATGACCAGTAGCTGTTGTGGTTTTCTAACAGTGGCTACCAGATTATGGTAATAATTTTTTTTTTTTTTTAAGTGTGTGTTCTGCAGTTGAACATTTTAAAATGTATCGGTAATTTCTCACTTTAATGTGGTAATAGATTCCACTTTACATTTCAAAATTCAATTGAAACAAGGCTGCTGTTCAGTCTTCAGCTCACACAACGTCTTAGTTCCTCCTGCAGCCAGGTGAGTGGGAGCCGGAGCTGGCTCCATCGGAATCTGGTTTTTGTCCTGTTCTGTAATAAAGATGCATTATTTATATTTCCTTTCCTGCTACGAAAGGAAAAACTGTATTTTCATGATGGACTGAACAGTTTGGAGTGGTTATTTTAGGCAGCTTTTGGAAACTATTTACCTAAAGACCAAATATGAGAAATGTGTACAAGTTTTGTGTTCATCCACACAATGGAACTGTTACAATGTCTCTGCAGATAATACATTAAAAAACTATGAAAAAAAACTCTACACAAGCTGGATTTATAACAGGCATTTAAAAAAAAAGCATAACCTGAAAAGAAGCATTTCTGTACAATTGCAACGTTTTCTTTAGAGGTTTTAAAAATAAAAAAAAGTAAAGTTTTAACATACTTTTTTTAAGAAAAAAAAATCCAGTACTAGTAATTTAATTTGGTGTTGAATGAATTGACTAGAATGTGGTTTATTTTCAGAAGTGAGAATCTGTTCACAACTAGGGCTAGGTGAATAATAGTGTATAAGATTTTTTTAAATAAAATTAAATTTTATTCAGCAAATTAACTAAGTTGAAATTACTCAACAAGTGTGTTTGGAATATCGATGTATATTTGGGGTTAATGCAGCTTCTGTGCCAGCCCCAGCAGGCCAAGGTGCCCCTTCCAGCCACGGCGTGTGCCAGGAGCCACGGGCATGGAGGGGCTGGGGCTGGAGCCTGCCTGGGGCACAGAGGGCACAGCAACGTGCCTGCCTTAGATGGAGCATTGTTCTGTAAGTAAGTTTTAGGAGATGGCACTTTCTGGAATCACTGTCATGAATGTGGGCTTGGTGTTGATCCCCTTTTCCTGCACTGGTTACAGTCTCTGTTTCTCAGCAGTTGGGGAAATGCTTTCAAGGACCAGGAAAACTTTGCTGGAAGCTGGGTCAGGTTTTCATGGTGATGCTTTCAGGAGCTGGGGAGAAACCCGACTCCCCAGGCCTTGGATGGCTGTGGAACTGCTGGGCAGGGTTGTGGTGTTTGGAGCTGAATGGGCAGAGCCTGTTCCTTGAACAGAAAGCACGGTCTGCATGGTCTGAATAAACACAGTCCTTGGGGAAGAAGAAGAAAATCGCTTACCATGGAGGCAGTGGTGTCACTGTTCCTCTGCCCCAGGGGCAGGCAGAGCAGAGTGACCCAGCCCCAGCCTGGTGGCACTGCGGCTGCTGTGTCCAGCACAGCCCTTCTGCCCCATGTCTGTAAGAACTGTCATGTCTCACATCTCCAACTGCACTGATTAATCTTGTATTTTCTCCTTTATTGTGACTACCTAAAGGTTCTGAAAGCAATCCTCGTATTCCACAGTTTCTGCTGGCAGATACCTGGAATTACTGCAGAATTGAGTGCACTGACTCATTAGTTTTCCTGTCAGGATTCTGAACTGTGACACAGGTACTGTGGAGAGAGATGGCAAAATGGGAAGAGAAGGCGTTGAGTTAGTTTTTAATACAAAAGGAACTGCTAATCCCTGTACTTTAGGAGCAGCTGCTGGTGCCAATGGTTTGTGTTCCAGGAGCAGCCGTGGTTTACTCCTGCTGTGGGAGCTCTCTGCTTTCCTGTGGCCACGTGGCACCCCCAGTCCATCAGTGCCAGGTACAGGGCCCACAGCCCTCAAGGCACCGTTCCTTTTCCCCAGAGTGACTGACTGAGCACTGTTCCATTGATTGTAGAGCTGTGCAAACCCTGCCTACGTTCATCCACAGGAGTGCGAGCGAGCGAAGCGCTGAAGCACTGCCCGAGCAACCTGGAGGCAGCACCAGCTGGGAAGGCTCAATCCTGTGCTGGATTTGATCCCTGTGAAACAGCTGTACCTGATCACATCCATCTGCAGGTAGCACAAGACACCTGAGGTGTGTTAGGGCATTCCAGGCTTACTGCAGCACTGCTGCCTGCCTGCACAGGTGTGTTATTTTCATTCCTGCTGCCACGTTGGAGCAGAGGTTTAGGGAAAATTTGACATGTTTAGAAAAGTTTAAATCTCCCCCAGGAATGTGTTTGTTGGCTCTTGTCAGCTCTAGGATAACGGGGACAGGAGGCCAGGGGGTACAGCAGCAGCTGAGGCTCAGCAGAGCTGTTGGGGCAGGAGTTTCCTGGTGCTGGGATCAGGAGCAGCTCCAGCTGCACAGGGAGAGGATTTACATGGCCCTTGGGGAGCCCTCTGCAGCTTCTCCAGGAGATGAGCCCCAGCTCCTTCTGCTGGTCCAGCCCAGCACGGGGGGAATGGTGAGGTAAGTGCTGAACAAGAACTGGTTTGCACTGGGACAGACAGCAAGGTGCCTGTCCCAGGCAGTGGCTCACGTGCTTCTGTCCCTTCCTCATGCAGCAGATTCAGCTCCTGTCCTTCACCAGCCACCAGTATTGACTCACATGTTTATTTCCCCAGCCTGGAGCAATGGAAACCATGGCTGTGACCATCAGTGAATACAGCAAAGTTAGTCACTTTTATTTAAAAGAAATAACATATTACAAATAAGTGTGCAAAACAATTCCTGTGGTTAAATACGCATAAAAGCAACATGCAACCTTGACATCAACATGGTAAGTTAGTCCTTAGTAGGTTACATGACACTAAAAGGGACTTGTCAAAGTTAGAGTTTGCAACTGAAGTCACAGAGTGTCAGGGCTGAAGCATCTGTGAAATTAGCTTTCAGAAAGCAAGACCTTCCTGCCCCAGTGTTTAGTGCCACAGATGCCAAATTTGGGGCTACCTCAGGTTCTGGGTTAGGAGCTTGTGCCTTAGGTCAGCAGGAAATAGGGTAAGAATTTTTGGGGAAGAGTGTACAAGTCAGTGGGTTCAGTCTAACCTACCTGTCCCTGGGCCAGCAGCAATAGTATGTGACAGCTCAAAGGGAAAAAAAAAAGACAAGTTTGCAAGTTTAAAGCCATTGCAGACATGGAACTTCCTGCCACCTTGTTCAGTTCTTGTGCTGGACATGGCCATGGCCTCTCCAGCCTCCCAGCTGCAGCAGTTTGGCAGCAGTTGCACAGCTGTCACACCAGTACCAACTGTTGCATTATTGAAGGAATCAGCTCTACAACTACAGGAGCCCTGGGTGCTTGCTGTGCTCACACAGGAGAGGGGAGCTGGGCCAGCCCTTACCCAGAGGTGCCTCCAGCTGCTTCACAGAGTTTGGCACCTTGGACAAGCAATGCTGATCCCTCACCTGAAGCAGCACTGGCAGGGCCACACGACCACCACCACCCAGCCCTGAGCCCAGGTCAGAGGACAAGCAGGACTTGATCTACAGGTGTCCCTTGCTCCATACTCGTCACCTTCTCTGTTGCCTCAGCTGTGCCAGGGGAGGGAGGAGGCAGGACTCCTGGTGGAGAAAGCAGGACCCAGAGCGTTCCCTGCTCCCAGCCATGCAGTGGAAGTAAAGCAATGCCTAAAATCTTCTGGTTTCACATCCCTTTTCCTAAAGCCAGCTGAAGGTGTGGACAGCCCCTGCAGAGCTTTCCCTGTGGCAGGCACTCTTGTTGGAGCTACAGTCATGTCACAGTTTAGACTAAAGAGAAACCCAATAGGCACAAGCTTGTCGAAAGCCACATCTTGAAAACTTGAGTTGGTGACAGTAACCCAAAGAGATTTTAATGATGAATACTTGCAGAAATGAGAACAAACATATGTAGTCCACTACTTCAGAGCTGCTTGTGATCATGTTGAGCCAGGCTTCTCCATGAGCTCTGCTGAACTTCTGGATCAGTGCTGGACACTCAGATACTGTCCCCCAAAGGCGCGGGGTGGCCGAGGCAGTGCTGTGAGCCGTGCACTCCCCTCCCCTCAGTCAAAGCTTGTCATCCGTCATTTCTAGGAACTGAGCGTACACATCCCTTGAGCATTCCCCTTTTTGGTTGAATAAGAACTTGTAGTAGCTGCCATCTGCACATATTGCTGCAACACAAACAAGCAGGGTCAGGGGGCTGTGCCAGAGGTGCTTTCCTTTGCTCCAGCTCCAGTGTAAGCTGCCCTTCAGACTCACAGAGGTGTTCTGGGGGGACCCACGGGCCACCAGCCCTGCCAGCCCTGTGCTGTGCCAGCCTCGTGCCTCCCTCCGTGGGCAGTGGGAGCAGCCAGAGCTCTGGGGTGACAGGGACACTCAGGCCTGTCCCAGCAGAGCACCCCTTCCCTCCGAGCCAGCAGAGTTCAAAGCCTGGTTCTCCAGCCAGAAGCTGGGGATACCTCCATCACTCACCTATGACAGCATTTGGCTCTGTTCCAAAGGCACAAATGCACGGAGAGCCTGAGGGAACCTGGAATTTGGAAAAACTCCATTTGGAACTGAAGTATTTGGGGAGAAAGGTGGCAGAGGCCAAACTGAAAGAGAAAACAAAAAAAAGACGTTAACAGTTTGGTAAGGTGTTGACTAGGGTGGATTCAGAGCTGCTGCAGTGACTGAACAAGGTGCATGTTTCACTTGATTTTTTACTGGCTTTTTATTTGAGTAAGAATCAGATAACCTGAGTGATTTCCCCTTGCAGGAAGGGAGACACTACAACTACCTTGCTGGCTTTAAGTGACTGCAAAAACTGCCAGAAAGATTGATTTGTAGTAGAACAAAGTGGCCACAACATATGTTCATCCTAAGGTCCACTAAAACCTACACTGACTCTCTAGTGAAATGCTACAGCCCCTCAAAGGACAGCAGGAACTTGGCAATTACCAGAGATTACTAAATCTGCATCTTCATGTCAGTCCAGCAGATAAATTTTTCCACCTTCAGCAGTGTAGAGATTTTGCTACTGAGTGACATGGCCAGTGTTCTCAATGCAATTCAAAGCTCGAGGACCCCTCCCACCCCCAGGGCTTCGGAATGGCTCCACTCCTACCTTGACTGCTTATTCCTTTTGGGATCTTCTGCAGCAAAAATGTGGACTGTGCCGTGGTCACTGGAGACGCAGATGAGGGAAGCATCCTGGTTGAAGTTAATACTGCAGAGAACACAGACAGCTGCAGGATTTCTGCTGGGACAGACCCACAGCCCTGGCACAGACAGTTCTGCTGCTGCAGTTGTGCCAGCCTGGCAGGTAACAGCTGCTCAGGAGGAGCAGGGGCTGCCCCCAGCCAGGGCTGCCAGGGATGAACAGGCACTCTCAGAACAGGGCCTGCAGGGGCAGCCCTGCCATGGACACCACTGGGTGGGTCACTGACACTGCTGGAAGGAAATGCACGAGCTGTGCTCTGAGGGGTGGGCAGAATGTCCAGCTGCTACCCCACAGCGGGGCTCAGCACAGGAATAGGAGTTTTCATGGGCAGAGGGTTTCCCTGCTCCTGGGACAGTCACACCTGTGCCCTGGGTGCTCTCCTGCCCAGCAGGATGTGGGGATAAAGGTCCCCTTGCCCCTGAGCTCGCCCCAGTCTCCCTGAGCAGTGCTGCAGTGCATCAGGGCACTCCCTGGGTGTCAGTGGGAAGTTCAGCATCCCCCAGCTCCCACCTGGGTTGAGCAGAGTCAGCCTGGCACCAGCCACAGCTCTGTCCCTGGTCCTGCAGCCTGTGCCAGGCCTCACAGAGCTCCCAGCTCCTGCCTCTCCTCCCAGCAGCGAAGAGGCAGCCAGGGTACCACAGCCATCCTGTGCTGGCTGAGGGGCTCAGCACAGCCAGACCCACCGATGGCACAGAGGCAGCTGAACGTACCAGTATATATTGGCTGCTTGTGATCCTCGACGTAGCTCCTGGATTAAATGCCCTGATGAAGTATCAAATATTCTTATGAGGGTCCCCTTGGAAAGGAATCAAGCATTGTATTAGGAAAGGCAGAAGACTGTCTCTACATCTGTGAATGCATCCTAAAATTTTGTCTGACCAGCATGCCCCTGCACCCACTGCTGGGGTTTTCTTTTTGTTAGATTTGCAAACCTTTCTTAATTTTGGGGAAGAACACTAGTTTCCCCACACAACCCCACCACAATGTTATAATGCTTTAGGGTACAATCTTGTCACTTAGTGACTCAGGAAGTCTCTTTTAGTTCAGTTCTAAGGCACTGCTGCAGCCCTGGCCCTGGTTTGCAGACACTGGCTGGTGTACAGTGTGCCCAGGATCCGTGGGTCCCTTCTGCCATGCTCCCCTCAGTTCTACGGCACTTTTCACTGCTGCTGTGCAATTCTGTCCCACTAAGTATAATCAAGCTGTGGCTGGTCTTGTCTTAAAACTGGTTCAGTTGACATAACTCAGAAGAATCAGTTACCACATGCTCATGATCTGTATTGATCCAAATTTGAGGCACCACCCAGTCAGGTGATAGAACACTGCACTGGGAAACTCCTTCAGCTGGAGCCAGAGCTGCAGAACAAGCCAGGGTGTCTCAAAGTGACCAACAAATCAGTGCTGCTTTCCTCTGATGAAGACTGGGTGTACACTGGGCTGTGCATCACCACCTGCAGCTCCTGTTACACACCTGGTTAACAGAGGCAGCCCTCCAGTCACACACCAGGAAGTAACTACCCAGCAGAGAAAGACTTGGTAAACATAGCTTAGTTTTGATTTAAGAGACAGGCTTGAGATGTTTGCTGACTGTGCTCAGACTTCTAGTTCAGTTGGAAAATAAAAGCTGCTTGAACTTTTTCTCTATGCAAAACAAGGAATGTTTAATACAAATGCAGCAGATAATGGCTCTATTTAGCAATGGAGTTGGCAGCTTTTAGAACTCTGTTTAGAAGACATGAAATCATTAAGCTTAAGAGAGACTTGGGATACATTTTCTTTTTTTAAACTGTTTGAGTGACAGGCTGGGCAGTAGAAACTATGTGAAACAGAGACTCCTTGGATTAATTTGGCTTGTCCTTAAGAAACTGATTTCAGCTGAGTGGAAGAAGGCAGCAAGAGCTGTGCTTGCCTCAGGGAGATGGGTCCATCTGCCTGACATTCCCTGGGGAGACAAATGTCCTGGCAGCTCTCCCTGTGGTCCCAGGGAGAAGGCAGCTCTGTGATGTTTGCCTCTCTGCCTCAGCCCAGCACAGGGGATCTGCACCCTGACTTTGTGTTCTTGTCACTGTCTTGTCTCTTCATCCCCATGGACCATGCGGCCCTTTCTGTGTGAGGGGGCAGCCCATCCTGTCCTGCTCTGTAACAGGGGCTGAGCCAGAGCAGAACAGAGCCCACCAGTACAACTGAACTATCTACAAGTATTTCTTTAGCCAGTGGGTTTGGAGTGAATTTAAGCAGAAAATAATAAAGGTGAAGAATTCAAATAAGCTCCCCCCCAGCGCCGTTTTTTTTTTTTTTTAATCTTGAAGAACACATCAAAGACATCAACTTCTTGGGCCAAGTTGTGTTCAAATGTCACTGAAGAATCACTGCTACAGCCAGCTAAAACAAATACCACCTCAGGCACAGCCCTTGGCTGTCGGCATCCCAGAGGAGCAGGGAAGATAAAGCCTGAGAGTGCACAGTTCAGGGGCAGATTTTCCCAGCAGGTATTTCTCTGTCTTTCCTCCAAAGGATGTGACTTGGCTATTTTATCTCACTACACTAGAACACACAATAACTCAGAGGCAGGGGACAGCATTCTTACTTTTTCTGATGCTGTTGCAATTCTTGTTCCCTGCAGGTTTAAAGCAATACAGCTCAAGACTCCTTCGTGAGCTGGGATGTCCACAGGAGGCTTCTCTGTGTTAGCCAGATCCACAATCTGCACGTGCCCAGTGTGTGTTCCAGGAAATGCAAGAAGAGAGTTATTACTATTTGGACAAAGGACACAGAGACCTGAAAGACAAAAAAAAAAAAAAAAAAAAAAAAAGAAAAGAAAAAAAAAAACAAAAACCCCAATGGGATCATTTCCATTACCTAATCAACTTTTCCAATGTAAGTTTCTAAAATATTGATAATTTCAGGATAAGCAAATACCCATGGAGTAAATCAGAATCTCATTTTATGGCTAGTGCCATTACATTAATTGCTAGTCCCAAAACATCAGCTGTCCATGAGTGCAGAGCCCAGTTAAGCAGAGTAGCATAATTTTAATTTGCTCTCATCACTTTATTTCAATGTAATCCAGCTGTGGTTATCCAGAATCTGGGTGGTTTTGCAGATCAGCCCAGTCAGTCCATTACATCAAAACCATTTTAAGAAGTTAAAAGGTCTCCTTAGCAGCTCAGAAAGGGTAAGAGTTTATCAAAAATGACATCTGAGCTTCTGCTCCATCAGTGAAACTATTAATAATTTGTGTTTGAACTTGATTCTTACAGCACTAGCACCTTTTTCTTTGTCATGTTTAAGGTAAATCACACCAATCCCAGGTGTTCTGTGGGTGCCAAGTGAATTCCTGAAACCTCAGCACAAGAAAAAACCTCCTCCTCCTGCATCCCCTGCCTGTCAGTCAGTCAGGCTGCTGGAGCTGCATCCAGGCTGGAATTCCATGACAGCAATTCCATGTTTGCTGCAGGCAGGCATGAAAACCCTCAGAGATGGGGATTCCAACCCTGTGTAATGTGGTGGAGAAAACACCCTCCTGACACCCGAGCTGATCCTCTCCACCAACCAAGCCCTGCCTGCACCCCTTGTTCCACGAGCAGCACTACCAAGAAGTGTTTGCTCCACCCTTGCTGACACTCCTCCAAGCCCCTGGCAGCCCTGCAGAGCCCTCCAGCAGCTCCCTCTGCTCCTGCTGCCATCACTGAATGAGCCCGAGCCCCTCCCCTGGGCTCAACAACAGCCACAGCCAGGCCTTGCTGTTTAAAATGAACAGAATCAGTTTGCTCACTGGGCTCTTTTTAACAGGAGAGAAGAGTTTGCTCAGCACCTCCAGCTCTATTAGGAAAGAGAAATGATGCACTTTACTGAAATTTGTGTTTATAATTAACCTTCCAGTAAAAATACAGGTTCTTTACAGAAGAAAGCATACAGCTCTTCAGAAATCACATCTATAACATGAGTACAGGAAACAGCTTTCCTGGGCCAAGTATTTATAAATTCTAATAACCATTCTATAAACACAAAAGCATCTCCAAAGGACATGACTGCAGTGCAGTAAGTGTTTAATGACTTCTAAAGGACTGACTGAGGCAGCTGAAGATAAATGGCACGTCAAGAATACAATAAACTTGCTTCCATTGTCCAGCCCACACATACAACTAACCTTTAGGGTTGTAGCAGGTTTCAAAGACGTGCAGCTGGTGGGGATTGTGTGTGAAGGTGAAAACTTTAATCATCGAGTCCAAGACAACCACAATTCTGAAACAGACCAGAAGTTCCAGGGTGGATAAAACAGGGTCACAAACATTCATTCAGACCTGCAAAGACTTTCATGTGATTTAACAGCCACATTCTTCCTGCCCTCCCCCACAAGAGACTCCCAGCCTTGCAGCAGCCACGCAATGATAAGCCTGCAAAGCACTTTTATCCAGCCCCTCCACCCACGCATACACAGACTCCAGCTGTTCACAGCTGCTCTTGCTCCAGGGATCTGCTGGAATTTTCTTCACTCCCCTCCATACCTAGAAAACCAGCAGGAGCCACAGGAGAATATTTCCCTACATTAGGGGATCAGGAGGTCTTGTAGGCTTTTCACCAAGGCTTCACAGAGCAGTATAGTTAAACTGTGGCCTGTTTACACCTAACACCCTGGCCCCAGAAGCCTGTTTCACCTGCTGGTGCTACAGCAGGATCTTTTGCTTTGTACAAGCAGCTGGAAGTGAGTAGGGGCACAGAGCCAAGCTGGGTGTCTGGACCCCTCTGCTGTACCTACCTGTCTCTTCGCAGCTTCACTGCTTTGACTTCTGTGGAAAACTCTATCTCAATGACAGTTTTCTTCTTCAGGTCATCCCAGATCATGACTAGAACAGTGCAGAGATTGCATTAGACAATCAAGGCATATTCAAAGATGCACAGCTCCCTTGTAACAACTTGCAGCTCCCCAGCAATCTGATCAAGAGGTTCACCCAATGGTTAAGCAGCTACAGACAGGTATTCTGCTAACCAGAAGGCACTGAGGCACTACATATCAACCCCCTCACACTAGAACTTGTGCATGCAGGAGCTGGTCAACTACAACCACAAAAACTGACAAAAAAGACATATCATTCTAAAAAAAAAGCATTATTATTATTTTTTGTTTGCTCTGAGGGTTATGGAAGAACTAATGCAGCAGTTGAAAAGAGCAGTACATTTTCCTACAAAGCTTGCCAGGCAGGGAGCTCCCTGCTCCTTGCAGAGCTCAGTGTGAGAAGGTCAGCAGGCCCTGGAGAGCAGTCCCTGCAGGTACCAGCCTGTCAGCACTGCACCAGCAGTGATGCAACTCACTGCACCACGGTGACTTAAACCTGCAGCAGCATCCCCTTCACCCGACCTTCAGGACATCAGCTCAGGCCCTGCTGTGGGACTCTCTGGCAGTCACACAGGGCCAAGGCAGGCCTGTGCAGGGTCCACCCCTCCAGCTCACCTTTGTTGGGTGGGTACTTCGGCTTTTTTCCTCCACCTACTAGTGCTAAATAGTTGCAACGAAACAACATTTCCACATGGCCGACACCACCTTCTAGAAACTCTGCAAGACAAGTATTTCATTTGAAAGTGTCAGAACTGGTTAAATTGCCATCTAATTTTTACCACTGTTACAAAAAAAGCTTGTGTTATCCAGCACATTTCTCAGGAAGCTGAGAAAGCATCTTCCTACCCTGGCTGCCCTAAAAACCAGAGAATGTGGATTCCTTGAAAGTTCTTCATACTGGAGCAGTAAAGCCTTGGATTTCATACAAGCCCTTGTGGTTTCTTCAACAGCACTTCAGAGTGCTGTGTTTCCTTCCTGAACAGTTGTACTTGAACACTGCCCCTTTCTGCACCAGATCCTCCTTCTGACTCCATAAAAGCATTTAAAGCAGGACAGCACATTCTGCTAGGAAGAGGTGTTATCACTGTGACAAAAAGGTCTACAGTATTTACAAGGGACAACCTGAAACAATTTAAGAATGTGTAGTGTGTTCTGAATCTGTGTTAGAGCACTGAGTCATTGCTTGGACGGGAATTTCTTGGAACTTGTGGATGTAAGACAGGGGTTGCAACAAGATTTGGTTTCATACTGGGTTACAGAGAAAATCAAATGGACAAGCTCCAGCTGGGAGTGTCTTGGGCAGGTTTAAACCTACACGAACAATGAACAGGATCTGTGTGTGCCTACACAGCCAGTTCAGTGAGAGCCCAGAATCCACAGGGAAAAGGCAATCTGACTCACAACAAACTTTTCACCACGAAGTCCTGCAAGCATCTCCATCCAGAGCTACTGGCAGGGAGAGTTTTCACAAGGAACTCTACAGGATTTCAGGCTAATTCTGACTCTTTGAGCACACTGTCACAAGTGATAGTCCCAAGGCATGTTGCTTATGGAAGAATTTACTGTTAGGAGCAGAAAATAGTTTGTCAGCTTTGGCCATGTGAACAGTGACTAAAATCCTTACAGTGGTAGCAAGTGAGAGTGTGCCTGAGTTTGTATCAATTGTTAGTTTAAGTACATTTTTCCTCTTATTAAATCCCTTTTCTCACCACAGGCTGAAAGTGCTGGGAAACCTGTTTAGCAGCTCACTTCCTATATTTAGGATTAGAATGACATGGCTCAGTTTCAGTTTCCCGTATTTTGACTCAGTTTTGTTTGCTTTCTGATTAAAAGCTCCACTGTTAACACAGCTCATCTACTGACTTCTGTTAAGACACAGGAGTAGCTTTACCACATTAAGATCCTCCCAGATTTTTAAAGCATACATAGAAGGTAAGATTTAGAGCATTAGAGGTCTGACCTCTCAGTGCTCCTGCAGACAATACTCTTGAGTATGAGAAATGTTACACTGAGATCTCCAGGAAAAAGCCTGGAGTCTTACTGCCACACTGGATCATCCAGATCAGCACACATGAACAGAACAACTTCTGATGGCTGCAGGGAGTGACTCCTCCTGCTCATAAATACCCAGGAAATGCCTCTCCTACACAGGCTACAAACATTAGCAGCAGCAAACACAACTCTGCCAGAAGCTGAGACAAATTCCTCATCAGCCAACTGTGCAAATTAACAGCAGGGAGACTTTTGACCCGGCAATGGCACGAGTGAGAGTCCCTGTGGGAGCAGCAGGAGCTGCCTTTCCTGAGGCTTTATTCAAAGCCTTCCAGGGATGGAAGAGTGAAAGCTGAGCAAGAATCAGTCAGGAAAAAATGAGAAGGCTGAGCTTCCAACACAGAGCAGCATGGTGTAATAAGTAAGTGTTTTACCTTGTTTCTCTTTTTCTTTGAGTGGATCTGCATTATAAACTCGGAATCCATTTTCCATTCCACATGCAAAGCATCCTGTGGTAAAAAGCACATATATATACGCATATATAGTAATTGCCAGATACACTCAAGAAGGAAGCAAGAGCCAGAGGGTTAGGAAAGCATTGCTCAACGACTGCATGGTTACACTCAAGCTGAAGAGCACTCACAGGCTCTCTTAGTGATGGCAAGTGGAAATCTTCCAGAGCTGTCCTCTACACTGGCCTGGTATAAATATCCTGGTATTGGTTTTAGGCAGGTAAGAAACAATAGAAGGAAAGGAAACCAATTCCCTACCCACCTGGATCCTGTACCATGCATCAGAGTGCAGGAAACCAGCATCTTAATGCTTATGGTCCAACGGTTATGAAATGAGCTCCCTCCTTTCTTAATAGATCCAAATTCACCTCATGATTATGACTCTGCTGTTATTGGAGTGTACCAACATCACACCGCAACATGCTGTGGATGTTTCCAGAGCACAGTGCTCATCAAACAGCTTCTCCAACTGTGCTAACGAGAGCTGACTGCTGTACCATGCCAATAATTACATGCCAATAGCTGAAGTCCAACCCAGGACATAAGCAGAAGCCAGATTAAAACTCTCTGAAAAATAATTGTAGTTACTTCTTCATATAGAAGTGTGCATGTGCTTCTTTAGTGGAATCCATTGAGCTGCCAGTCCCTTGTCCTGCTCCTTGCCCTGCTAACAGGTGAACACAGGCACTGGTACAAAGCAATGCCACTGTGAAGTCAGAGCAATGATAATCACCAAGAAGCTGCTGACACTGGCAGCAGCCTGATGACAGGCTGGCTGCTCACAATTTGTGTGTGCTGTACCAAAAATCCAGTTAAAGATCTCTGGATCTGGTACTGGAATGTAAGTTCCAGTTACTCTGGTTCTATTCTTATGTACTGCAATGATTTGAACCCCTCAAATAAAAGCTGAGGAGCTCTGTCTAAACACAACCCTTCCCCAAACTTGATACTCCAACCATCACAGGGCGTGTGGGGGAAGAAAACAAAACACAAAAACCTATGCCCTTAACCCGAAAGACTCTCAGGTACAACTGCACCCTGTCCAAAAGTTCTTGTTTACATAGATAAACACACACACAAAGTAGATATTGTGAATGTATTAATTGTAGCAGGATTAGCAACCATATTGCAATAGGGTTTGATATGAACCCTCCCTCCCCGCTCGGCAGTGATTTGCTCTGGCAGCTGGGTGTGTAAGTGTGAGCTGCAGTGATCTCCCAGCACTGGGACAGCCAGGGAGCAAACTGCAATGGAAACCTTTCCCTCTACATAAAGCACTGCTTTACAGGATAGAACTGATCTGTTCCTCACAGCTGATCCATATAATTATTTTCAGCAACAGTTTTCTACTCCCATACTGTATTTCCAGGGAAGTCAAAGGGAAGGGATGCTGAAGCAGTTCCCAGTAAGAAAGTGCTGTAAGGTTTGAGAAGTGCTGATCCCAGAAGCTCCTAACAACCCAAATGCAGCATTCCTGATGCAATCAAACACACACTTTACACTTTCTGCAGCACCACTACAGCTTTCTGCAGGACCAACCTCGTGAGTAAGACGTGGGCTGCTTTAATGCCTTGGGAATATCCACATTTTTAACTGAAGACACACAGCAGAACGTGGGGATGTGAGTAACAGTGAAATTCCCCATGTGGTCGATCACTACCCACAGAGATATGAAGCTCTCAGCAACGGCAACCCCTGAGTCAAACAAGAGAAGAAAACCCTACAGGAAGATTCCTGCTCCTGCTTCAGTTCCAGATTACAGAATAGCTTTGAAGCTTGGTGATTCCCATCTGACTGATTTCTGCTCCACTGGAATCACAAATGTGACGGCTACAGCCATGTGAGAGCTGGAAGGGGCTGACAGAGGAGGGAACAATTCCTTAGGTTCACTTCCTTCCACAAAAGTGCACCTCTCTTTTCAAGAAGGGACAGATGAATTGAAAAGCCACTGACAACAGATAACTCAGATACTTTTTTAAAAAACGTAATGATTACAGAGTTATTGCCCTGATCCATAGTTGTGCTTGTTCCTACAGTAAAAATGCTTTTTGCCACCAGTGCCAGTGAGACCAGAGTGAGTTTTGTTCCTCCAAATCTGCAGGAAAAGGAAGGGTTAAATGAAGGACCAGCCCAGCAGATGCCACAGGCTGAAGGGGACAGAGAAACCTGCAGGCTCTGGGGTGTGAGGTCCCACAGTGGCAGCAGTGGAGCACAGGGAAGTGACAATGTCCAGCACAGTTCTGCCATGGTGGTTTTCCTTGGCACCATAAATGCTGTGTAAAGCCAAGAGCACAGGACCCTACCAACACTGTGGGGTCCCACAAAGCATTCCAGCCCACTGGAGAAGAGTAAATACTTAAGTCAAGTGCTTCCACACCAAAACAAACCCACAGCTCAGCTTTCAAAGTAGCTTTAGGCTGCAACAGTGACAAAAGAGAAATCTGTCAGCAATTTACAGCTATGGCCATTTATAATGATGTTTTGTCTCTTCATTTCTGAAAAGCACGTTAGTGTCCTTCTCCAAGCATTAGGAAAGGATCTGAAATCAGGAGCTCACAGTCTCCAAATTAAGAAGATAAAATCAGAATATTCTGACTTCAAACAACTGACAACTTCAATTTCCTTGTGTTACATTGTTTCTTTGTTTTTTAATTTAAAGCCCAAAAGTAGCAAAGGTGCCTGATAGAAAACTAGCATCACTCAAGTCAGAGCAAGGGAGGCCCATGGCAGAACAACCACAGCCGCTTCATCACTTGCCAGTCAGGGAGACTCAGCCCCAGAGAGACTTCTTAGATGGTTCCTCCTGTTCTCCCATCCTTGTGGGATCGGCCAGTCTTAAATTATTGAAATTAGGAGAAATTAGGTTATTGTGGCAGCACATGCAGACACCCACACTTGTGAGCTTCAGCACTCCAGTGACTCACGTTCTATTCCTGGCAGAAGCAAGAAGGAAGCAGGGAGCTTTCCCTCCCCTCTGCTCTCCTTCAGGTGGCCAAACATCACCTGCCCTTCAGCACTTTACAGGAGCCCTAAACTCATAAAAGGTCACTGAGTTACCTGCAGTGCAGCGTCATCGTTCCTAACAGGAGCAGCTCCAGGAGCTGCCAAACAAAAGCCAATTGTGTTTTTTCTTCATGTTTTTTGTCATCACTCAATTGCCTGGCCAGGTGAGGTGGGATGGGACATGAATACTGGCAGCTCACAGATTGCCAAGACAAATTCCTTCAGGTGCTTTGGATGTGATATTCCAAAAAGGGGGATATCTTGCATTTATTGCTATGGAATTAAGGAAGCCTTTGTAACAAACAAATTTTACACTAAAATTATGATCTAAAGGCATTTTGCAATAAAAGAGAAACTTTTCTTCTTACACAGCTCTACAGGCCAAGAACCAAATATCACTGCTCCATTACAGACCCTGCAGATCTGAAATTACCTCATACTCAAAAATCTTTTTCCATCTCTGTTGGAGAGGCAAGATGAAAATAAGTGCAGAGCTGCTAAGAAACAAACTATGTATTCCTTTCACATCTATGGGACAGGAGGAAGAGAGCTGCCAAGATGCTCTCACCTCATTACCTGCTTCATGTGCTATTGCCAAGATGTCACCAGAGACGTCTGACTAAAATCAACAGAATAATTCATGCTTACACACGACTTCAACAGCATCAGCAACAGGTACATGAGCTGCAGTCTACAACGACAGAGGCTGCAAGAGTGTCTTAAGCAAGAATATTATTTGTTAAGGCAAAAGGATGTTGCAAAATGATGAGCTTCTACTCCTTATTCCACAAAAACGACACTTACTCATCAGACTGGTGCTATTTTTGTCTTGCCAAAGCAGGATGAGGAACATGTACCCTGTTTCTGGAGCAGGCCTTCCCCTCTAACAAAGGGAAAAGATAAGCCAAGGATGCACAGCCAAGGGGCTGTTGTATCAGTGCTTGCCTGCCAGTGTGATTAGTAGAGTTAACCACAGTTTTTCAAACACAAACCAGGTAAAAAGAACGAAAAAAGCAGTTACACCACTCATTTGAATGTGGAGTAGTTAGAGTGAGAAAGGGCTGAGCTGTGAGCAGCTCCCAAAGAAGCCCCTGCAGCACAGGCTTTGAGGAGCCACACACGGCGAGCAGCCAAGCGCAGCAAGCCCCGGCAAGCCGGGTCCTGGTGCTGGTCTGTTCCCTGTCCCCTCACCCACCCATTCAACTCTGCGAAGCGCTGGGCACAGACCCGACCGCACAGCGCTAAACAACGGGAGAACCACGAAACGCTCCCGCTGCCAGCGGCCTTCCCGGCTCCGTCCAGCCGCTGCAGCCGCCGCACCTCGGGCATCCCCAAGGCAGCAGCAGCGCCGGGACGCAAGCGGGACCCGCAGGGATGGCTCGGGAGCCGCGGCAGCCCCGGCCCAGCCCAGCCCGGCCCCGGCTCTGCACCGCCGCCCCTCCGCGGCACCACCCGGCTCCCCGGGCCCGCAGCCTCACCGTGGTCCTGGTTGAAGCCGGCGTAGAGCAGCCCGTTGCCGTGCGGGTTGGCCGGGAGCAGGTTCATGGCTCCGGCTCGGCCCCTTCGCCCCCGCCCCTCACACCATGGCGGCGCCCGCCCGCCTCAGCCCCGCCGCGGGAGCCCGAACCGAGCCGGGCCGAGTTAAACCCGCCCGAGTCGGGCCCAGTCCAGCGAGCCCGCCGGAGCCGAGCCGGGCCGAGCTGAGCCGAACCCGCCCGAGCCGGGCTGAGCGGAGCCGAGTCCGGCCGAGTCCCGCCGGGCCGAGGCGGACAGGCCGGCCTCTGCTTCCGGCCCTGCCAGGCACCGCTGCCGAGCGCAGAGCCCATCCAGCCGCCGGCGGGAGGAGCGCCGAGTACTCGAGCGCCGCGGGAATGGCGGCGGGAGTGCCGGGAATAGACCGGGACTGACCGCCCGGAACGAACCAGGACGGACCGGGACTGACCGCTGGGCCGGTGAGGATGGATGGCCCGGGCCCCTCCCAGCTCCAAAGGACTGTTTGGTAAAAGCTTTCACATCAAACTAGTGAAAACACAGCAGTTGCGGTTGGAACGCGCTAAAATAGGGGTTCCCCCCAAACCCTACCACCAGCATGACAAATACGTCTTGAAAAGTGGAAATTCTCGGGTCCCAAGGCCCTGGACTTAAACAGTAATTTTACTTGGAGCAAGAGGATGGACCCCACAGCCTGGTGAGGCCCCTTCCAGGGCGGATGTTTCCATGAGTGCACGGGGCTGCAGCCCAGACTGGGTGCGCTCACACCAGCGCCCGCTGCTCCCCATCCCTCCCGTGCGTTCGCCTCCTTTCCCGTGCTCGCTCTGTGCCTTCCGCGGTGTCTCCAGTTGTGACCAGCTCTGCTGGGAGGTGGCCGCGGCTTTTCGGTGCAGCCCCCGAGCTCTGCACAGACCAGCTGCTTTAGTATTCTTTGGGTACTCATTTATGCGTATAGAATGGAATAATCACATTGCATCTTTATGAGATTTAGTTTCCTCGGGCAGCCCAGAGACTGGGGAATGTGAAATAACAAACCCTTTGCTTTATTTAAAGCTTCTGCCCGGCTAGGGCCCCAGGCTTTACTTACTCCATGTGGGATTGCTGCAGGCGTTACCAGGAGCCCCGAGTGCTGCCCCAGCCTGTCCTCACCTTGTGTTTATCGTGGCTGGCAGGAGCAACAGAGACTCTGGCCTTGGGGACGGACACACATCCGTGGAAATGCTCCCTCCAGCCAGGCATTCCTCCTGCATATCACAGAAAGGGACCAGGCTGCCAATGGAGGCCAAGGGTATAATTTGGAAGAAATGATCCAAGGTAGCCGTGTGCATGGCACAGAACCGCTCATGCAACTCCCGGACTGGGCGGGTCTGGGTGTCTCCGATGCAGGGTTAGCCCCGCGGAGCGCAGGCAGCCCTGTCCGAGTCCGCACTGGAGAGGCAGTTTCAACATCCCGCAGCTCCATCCCGGCGTCTCCCGGAGCTCCCCCGGCACGCTCAGCTCAGGGCAGAGCCTGCTCGTACCCGGGGACGGAGCCCACAGGAATTCTTCCACCGCACGGGGGTTGCGGGTTGGGCTTTCCCTGAGAGCAGACTGCTTCTGGTGGCACTTTTCTTTAAGCTGATGCACTGATTGCTCCAGGCCCGGCACTACTCTGGCACCTTCCTGGCCGGAATTTTTACACTCACAATGCTGACCCAGGAGGAACATCACAGAGCCTTGGTGGTCTCTCACAGCAGTGGCAACGCTGGTAGGAAACTGGGACGAAGCTGCACCAATTACTGAGGAAGAGGAGTCACACAGTCCCCTCACACATTAAAGACTTGGCCTGAGTTTTTCTTCCACCTTTCAGGTAACAATTTTGTAGACACGTGTTGTATCAGAAGCCTTGTGTGACACTTAAAGGCTGAGTTCACATTCATGGTATCTAATTCATGTATATTGTTCTTCACGTTCTTCTAAAGGAAGATAAAGCCAACCCTCCCCAGTTAAAGAAACCACTTCTAAAGAATCTGAAGAAAGGATTTATTTTCCAGAAACATTCAATTTTTTTTTTTTTTAAATAGTGTTCTTCAAGTCCTCTGTCTTTCACCATAGTGTCTGTGGCATTTGTCTCCTAGAACTTTCTCATAAAGTGGTATGAAATGAAATTTATTCTTATAGGAAACTATTTAACCTACAAATTAATTCCCCAAAGTATTAAAAAACATACAAAACAATTTCTCAAATTAATTACATACACTAAACCTTGTTGTGCATGTGCATAATAATTATAGATCCACTTTTAACTTAGTGAAGTTTGTCCTTAAAAGTTACTGAGGGAACTTCACAAGGAATTCAAATGCACAGTTGTAGCACTACAGAATTTGTCACACTATTGGTAGAATTTAACAATCATAAATACATTGTTAAGTATATTTAATACATTTTATTGTATTGAACACACTTTAATTTTGTTTAATATATATTCATTGTGTTTAATGCATTTTAAATACCTCTGCCTGAATATGCAGACCTATAACTCATTTTTATATTTTTAATCGTTTGCAAAAAATACAGAATTTTCTTTTATTTGTATTAGTAATTCACATGGAATTTAGAGTTGAATCTAATGGTATTTATCCCCTGTATAAAACCACACAAAACAGTGAAACCAATGGTGTTGTGCACATCAGAAACTAAAACACGGTATGAAAATCCAGCAGCAGAATGTCACGTCCTTTCAGTGGAATTGGATGTGTCATTCATCCCAAAGCACCATTTCTGCGGTGAGGAAGCTCTAAAATAAGACTTACGTTCTAATTTTTGTCAGTGTGGTACTTACATGGAGTGTGCACTGCCATTAAACAGGAATCCGTGTGTTCGAGGCTGGAGGGCCACGGGACGCTTGTGCGGAGAGGGGAACAGCGTCAGACTCCTGTCACACCGGGAATTGGCTCCTCACAGCGGGAACAGCCCCTCATGACCCCGGGAACAGCCCCTCATAACACCGGGAACAGCCCCTCATGACACCGGGAACAGCCTCCCCTCACAGCGGGAGCACCTGTTCCCATAGCACCGGGAACAGCCCCTCATAACACCGGGAACAGCATCCCTCACAGAGGGAACAGGCCCTCATAACACCGGGAACAGCCCCTCATGACACCGGGAACAGCCTCCCCTCACAGCGGGAGCACCTGTTCCCATAGCACCGGGAACAGCCCCTCATAACACCGGGAACAGCATCCCTCACAGCGGGAACAGGCCCCCCTTCCGGCGGGAACAGCCTCCCCTCACACCGGGAGCACCTGTTCCCATAGCACCGGGAACAGGTTCCCCCATACCGGGAGCAGCGCCTCATAACACTGGGAACAGCATCCCCTCAGACCGGGAGCACCTGTTCCCATAACACCGGGAATTGCCCCCCATCCCGGCGGGAACAGCATCTCCTTACAGCCGGAACAGCCGCCCCTCACTGCAGGAGCGGCCTCCCTTCACACCGGGAACAGCTTTCCATCACTGCAGGAACAATCCCCTCACACCGGGCGCAGCCTCCCCTCACACTGGGAGCAGCCCTTCATCGCTGCAGGAACCATTCCCTCACACCGGGAGCAGCCCCCCTCACACCGGGAGCAGCCCCCCTCCGCCCGGGAGCAGCCCTTCATCGCTGCAGGAGCCATTCCCTCACACCGGGAGCAGCCCCCCTCACACCGGGAGCAGCCCTTCATCGCTGCAGGAACCATTCCCTCACACCGGGAGCAGCCTCCCCTCACACCGGGCCCCGGGGGTGCCGCTCACCCGCGCTGTGCCCGCAGGTCCTGTCCCGCAGCCCGGCCGGGATCTCCCCGTCCCTTCGGCACTGTCCGCGCCGGCAGGAATTTCCGCAGGGATCCCCGCCTGGCTCGTCCTCCTCCCCGCACCCCGCAAGGCCGATTAACGGATTTAATCACATCCCTTTGGGCTGAAGCTTTGGGTTTCACACCAAATGCCCCCGATACAGCGCCTGTGGCCATTCCTGGGGCTGCCTTCAGCTTCCCTCTAGTGGATCGGCCTAAAACCGCTCTTCCTCAGGCGATCCCGGAGCTTTAGAGCGGCTCCAAACTACAAATACCAGCAGCTCCAGCACCGCTGAGAGGCCCCAGGACCCACCTCTCCTAGAATTAATTTCTCCAGTTTATTGTAGCAAATATTTATAAAGAATTTTATTTTTCATGTATAGCTATAAAAGCCCACGGCAAGCAAAGCATTTTGAAACATTCTCTCTGGCTGAGCTATTTTTTTAGCTGTGTTCTTTAAATTTTTTTTTCTGTGGTGGGTGGCCCTTCCTACCTCATCGCAGAGTGACAGTGGCAGAAGGACCCAGACCTTTAATCCTGTTTCGCAGCAGGTTTAGCAGAGGAGCGGCTGCAGCAGCCTGGAAATGACCATGGAGAAGATCCTGAAGGCAGAGCTGAACACCAACCTTCTGAAGGCGCTGGGGAGCTCTGGGGGAGGATGCATCAGCCAAGGCCAAACGTATGAGACAGACAGAGGACGGGTGTTTGTGAAAATCAACCACAAACCTCAGGTCAATGCCAGCAGATCTTATGATTGCATAGAGATAGCTTTTTATTTTAAAAGCAGCTGGTCGTTAATAATACATAACTGTTTCAGTTCTGAGTTTTCCTTTTAAAGCTGTGTGTATTTTATATCCAGAATTAATGTAGCAGGTTTGGTTAGTGTGAAATGCAGTGTAATGCAATGTGATAACCCTCAACAGCAGGAATGAGCTGTAATTGCTGTTTAAAAGGAGGCCAAGCACAAAGCTGTTACTGTGGTTCTTGGAGTTTGGAAAAGCCCAGAGCTGACTTTGCATTCACTGCATTCCTTTTCATGTTCCAGTTGGGAGGATTGATAATGGGAGGGCACAAACAGGGGCCAGTGCTAAAATGTACGTATTATCTTTAAAGCTACAGAAATTTCAAACATCCCCATTGCTTTTGGGATTTCTAAAAGTAAAACTCTTGCAGCTTCTCAAGCCAAGCTCTTGACTTCTCTACTACTAAGTGAATACTCAATTGCTTTTTCTAACACCACAGTGCAGCAGAAATTTGCTTTATCTATATCAAAATCATCCTAAACTGCCGTGAAAAACAGCACCTTTGCTTCAAAAATACAGAGCACATGCTGAGCATTTGTGCTGTCATCTCCATCCAGTGGCTTTTGGGGAAAGAAAAACCAATTTAAGAGCTCAATGTTACCTCATTTAGCAGTGGCCAGATTATCCTCAGAGGTGCTGTTGCATTCAGGTAGTTTGGGGTCTTCATAAGCAGCTGGAAATCAGGGTGTAA